CTTACTAGAGTGCTGGCAATATCTCACTCTTTACTGCCTGATATCAGTCTTCCTTTTCTGGATGAGTTCCTTGAGAAAGAATTAGCAATCTTTCCCCAGCAGCATCTGCTGTCTGTGAATATTTCAGAGGTTGCCCTTTCCAGATCCTGAGGATAATGGTAGAAAACAGACCTGATTATACTGGTTTGACATTTGTGTGGCCAGTGCTAATTTTAGCAGGACTGCCTGTGGTTTTAACTGAAGTGTTTCTATACTTATAATTTTAATGGGAAAACTATCAAGAAAAATAAAACAAAACGAAACAAAAGTGCCCAATTTCAAATGATTCTCCATCAGACTTCAACAAGACGTATTGAGCTCTGCCTCATCTCTCCTTTCAAATTGAGGAATCTGAACTGAGTGCCATTCTTCTGGGTACAATCAATGGGAGGCACTCTGAGATGCTACAGACTTAACAGCAATGCATCAAGAGATAGTCCTTTCAACATCTAGAAAATCTGCTATCAAAGTACCTTACTAATATGAAAAATACATGGCTTTAAGATCAGGTTAGACGAGAGGATGATGATTCTTTTCAAAGGTATTGCAGGATAGTTTGCTTATTGCCATTACAATTTTATCAATTTGGCACTGCCTGGGACACTTGCTCTTAAAGATTTTCCTAAGCTACTGCATTTTTACCCGCCCATATTCCTTCCAAATAAGTTCCCAGCTACAGGGATCCACTGCTTCATTACTTTAATTGATTTTAGCTATCATAGTGCTATGCTTTCAAGGGCTGACACAAAAATTGCACAGAACCACACCACAGTGCAGTGTCCCATAGAAGTGAATTTGAAATATGCTAATCTTGATTAAATTATCTAATTCAGTTCTTAGTTCCAGGCTCAAGTGTCAATGGATGCAGCGCCCAAGGAATCTTTACAGAATCAGTTCTCTCCACTAGCCTTTGGAGGCAAGACAAGGCTTAAAAACAGTTGACCTAAAAAATGAATGAGGGAGGACACAGCTGTCCACATACTTCTCTGTAAGCAGTTGACTCTTAATTGCAGCCCTTGGTTTGAATCAGATGACTTCAGTCTTTTAAAGGGTCAGCTGAGCTTACTCTGCTGTCACTGTTTCCTGATGTCGCCCAGGACAGTGAAATAGAAGTAGAGCATTATCAAAATCTGGCCGAAAGCTTTTTACCAAATGTGATGCAAGTTTATTCTAAAAAGACCCTCGGTATGGATTTCTTACAAAGAATTTGTGGATGCTCGTTGCAGTATATTTACATGAAGATAAGGGATCAGTCACTGGGATCAGTCCTTGGTATCCTTAAGAAAGTATTAGAGGTCCATGGGTGAACACAAGCAACTTGGTTGGTAATGCTGGTTTGTAGTAAAGTTGCCCACATAGATACTGTCTGTTGTACTAGAAGTTGCTGGCCCACATTCTATAAATGGGAAAGAGAAAAGAGAAGCATGAAGCAATGTGAGATTTTTGCAATTAAGCCTCTTATTAATAAGATAATCTATCTTATTAACTGAGCAAAATCAGAAGGAAATAAATCTGTACTAGCAGTTAATGTTCAGTTGGTTGGTTGACAGCTGCAGGCAAGCCCAGTGATTTAAAAATGACTGTCATTAACAGTTTCTACTAAGAAGATTTTTTTATAAAAAATGTGAACACATTCTGTTTCAGCAGTGATATTACAAAATTTGTCTATTCATGATCTTTAATAACCAATTTTCTGCCAGAATGACCGAGAATGCTATCATGTGGGTTTAAAATAAAATAAAACTTATTTTAAAAATCAAGGCTATGTACTGTAACAGCTATAATTAAGCTACAGTTCGAACAGTATATAGAGTGCACATATAGTGTAACTAGGTATTAGTTTACAGGCTGTTCTATTTGTCATATGTTAAAACAGTTGCAAATGTAAAACCCTATTCTAAATTATAACTTCTAAGAAGATTTGTTTGTTTGCTTGCTGTTTGGGTTTTGTTGGTTTTTTGTTTAGGGTTTGGTTTTGTTTGTTTGTTTTGGTCTGTGTTTTTTTTGTTTGATTGATTGTTTGATTGATTTGTTGGTTGGTTTTTTATAGTTGCAAATCATCCAGAGTATGTTATTCTCGTAAAACACTAGAGACCAAAAATTAGCTTGAACAGCTACTTGGATATTTTACAATCAGTAAGATGCTCACGTAGCAGCAATTTGTTATTTGCAGTGTATGGGCATCACTGTAGAGGGCATGGAGAGGGAATACATTCTTGCTACTCCCAGCAGAATACATGAGGTCCACAGATAAATGGGAGAAACTTGAGCAGTCATGCTAATTTGTACTAAAATTGCCCACATACAAATTGTTGTCTGCTGTGTCAGTGGGTGTACTGATGAAAAAGCTGGGATGGCATTTTCCTACACATATGTGAAAAGGCAGGGAGGCTATTTTTAAGGAACACAAAGTGGTTTGTGGGGAGCTGAAGCTGCTTTTGCACTTTTGAGGGAAGGAAGAAGGTCCTCTGTCCTTCACCACCTTTCAGCAACTTGAGGAATAGCCAGCCACAAGGACCTAGAAGGACAACATTCAGAGTCAGGTTGAACAGGGCTCTGAGCAACCTGATCTAGCTGAAGATGTCCCTGCTCATTGCAGGGGGGTTGGACTAGATGACCTTTAAAGGTCCCTTCCAAACCACACTATTCTTATGATTCCGTGACAAAAGAGAGAAACTGTATATTGTATATCTTTTAAATCTTGGGATCGTACTTGATAGATAATGCATCAAATAGGGAGATTAAGATCTTAAGAAAAATCTTACATCTGTATTAAAAGAAAAAAAGAAGAAATAAAGTTAATTTTTTTCTTGTAGATATGGGCATTTTTAATGGATTTTTGATGAGAATATTCTCAAGCTATTTCAAGATACAAGACTTTTCAAGTAATTATTTCAAAGACAAAATGCTCATGCCATGATGGACTTCTACAAATATACAAAAATTAAGCAATTTTGAGTGCAAAGTAGTTGATTAATTTTCCTAGCTTAACTACTGTATAATATACCTCTTACATAAAGAAATCCAGAGATATTTAGACAAGAATTCCCTGCTGCTTGTAGCATCCCAAATTATGTGAGGCAGTGGTCTATATTTGAGGTCTTGAGGGATTGTTACTGAAACAGGTAGAAATCCTGCAGATAGAGTGATTTGTCTTTAAACAATTCCAAGCTTCCTAATTTAAGATTGACTTTCCAATCTTAATTTGGTTAGTTTATTTTAATTTAAGTTTTTTCTAGCTAAAAGCTTTACAGCTGCAGAACCACATTGACTCCAGTGCAGTTATATACTATCGGAAGTAAGTACATAACAGAATACAAGATAATTCTTCATAAAGGTAATCATTCTGGAAAGGGTAATTCATTAATTTAAATATGCTGTTAATCTACCCACGCTACTTTGGATATCTTTATTCAAGGTTGCTGTTTGTGTTGAAGGAATAAATGATGGCAACAACAGATTGTGAAGTAGCAATAGAAGCTGCAACATCCAGTAGACTTTATAACTAAATGTTAGCAGAGGGTTTGTGCAGATGAGGAGTCTTGACTTTTGTTCTGTATTTTGGAGAGTTGTCTTTCAAACCCTTTTCTCCCACCCTGCTGTGACTGACTTGACCTTTTTTGCCTCTGGCCATTCCTTCTGTCATCATTTTACTGTCTCCTTACCTTCATTTCCAAACTTCCATGCGTCCACCTCTTTGTCCTTCCCAAGACTGCGTTACACTTTTCTTATCACCCACTCTGCTGTAGCTTTTAGCACTGAGGTCTTCACTCTCAAGAGAGTTAGGCTGTAGGAAGGTGAATGTTTGGAGCACAAGACCGTTTTCCTGCTGACATTTTTTTGAGCACGCAGCAGCCTGTGGTTATCAGAAGAATCAATCACAGGGACAGTATTCTTGTCCCATGCATATTAACTTGAGCAGATTCAGTCATTCTCAGTGAATAATACTCATAGACTTACATGAGCATGTATGCGTTGTAGCAGGCATAAAAAATTATCACAGAAATGGATTGAAAGCTTAATGTAGAAGTAGTTACTTATAACTAAGAGGTTTATCTGCAGATAGAATTAAAGCTGAAACTTTAACCCTGAGGTGTCAGTTCCACCAAATTTCAAGAATTCATTTCAAAGCAAGAAGCTTGATAGTGAAAAGACGGAATGATTTACTTGTTCTACTTCATGTAATTTTTCTATGGCATTATTTCTGAAATAGCTGGGACACACCCTGAGGTAGATGTTTGGACATGTGGCAGACTGACAAGCCAATGGAAGAAGGCCCTTACGATTGCAATGTATCAGGCCACCTTCATTACAGACAACATTAATTTTTGTTTGGTTTTTGTTTGTTTTTTTTTAAACAGCAAAATCAATCAGATGAAAAATCGTACAGAGGAGACATGGCTTGTATAATAATAATAATGTAGATTCTTTCAAATATATTTCAATTATGTCTTCAGCAAGAAAATAGCTTTTTAGATCTGTCTTTTTTATGCAGTGTCACTCATATTACAATGAGGAGATGCTCAAAAAACATGACTTAGGGCCTAGAAAATCACAGAATTGACTTACACATACTTTGCACATGAACTTTGAATACTAAATGTGACATGTTCACTTAATCATGCTTGTTTTGTTTAAAGCCTTCAGAGTCTCCCTGGGTCTCATTTCAGAGTTTTATCAGTAAGTAGAAGTCTAAAGTAACATTTTATGTGAACTTCTCTATTTAGGACATTGACTCACAAAGTACTTTATTACAGGAAGACAGGCCACAAATGTTACTATAGGATAATATTTGGCTGTACCATGAGCAGGATGAAATGAAATCTGTTATCACAGGGAGAATGGTACACAATAATAAAATGTTAAATAATGTATCAAAAAGGAAAAAGGAAACATATGAGTAAAATGATATAATTTTCACTACTTTCAAAATACCATAACAATCTGTTCAATCTGTCTAGGAAGACGATTAGCTCCAAAAGAAAATCTGGACATCCCAGTGTTATTCACGCCAGATACAATGAAAATGTATGAGGCTGTGGTGGTAATTCATGTAATGAGGGAAAATGGTGAAAACTGGCCTTATGAGGATTCTGCTGAACTCAATAAAGACTTGAAAAGGTAATTTATTCTAATAGGAAGAAAAAAGTAGTTGAGGATACTCAGTCACATCATCATTTTCCCCTTTGGCTACTGGTGTGTAGCTCCCAAGGGCAATCAAGTGTCTGATTTTGAGGGCAACAGATTTCTAACATAAGCTTTTAACGTATCCTGCAAAGTATGCAGACTTAGGGTAAGACTTTTATCTGCTTCAATATCTATCTTTTCTAAATTTAAATAAAGAAATGTAAAGTACTAGCTGCCAGTGCAGTTATAGATATTGAGCAAATGAAAGATCTTAGATGCTTCTAATTTTTCAGTGTATTTCGTCTAATAATGATTCTCCTGTGGATACATTTATGTAATGCATAATCTGTATAAACTCTTTCAGTGTAGACATGACATAAGAGAGAGTAGATCAGGCCAAATGTTCTCATATCCTGTCAGAATAATATTTGCAAACAGTAAACTAAGTGGATGTAAATTATTGCTGTTCTGATTTGGTTAGATTCTATTTCATATTTTTCTTAGATATGTTTAACATTACAACATACAATAAAATGGAGTCTCACCTCTGCAACAACTCTGAAGTCTAGAACACTTTGGAAAAAAAATTCTCAGCAGTCTACCATAATGATACTTTTCACTTGTTTTCCAAGCAGTGTTACTATAGCAGAGAATGGGGGAATTCAGGGAATACTCTGGATCTATCCGGTTCATGGAATACCTGAAGCACCGCAGCAGCAATTAGTTCCAGGTAGGTAATGTCTGAAAAAACTTGAACAATACATTTCAGAAAAATAAATAGTCATTTGTGTTCTCACCTGCTTGATCATGAAAATTTGCTACACCTTAAAAAAAACCAACACATACGGAAAATAAAATCTCCTTTCCTGACCTACAGAGCAAATCTAAATCTATTCTTTTGTTCTCAGTGGAGTCATGAGCAGCTGAAAATCTCAATGCTTGTGACCTTCGGTGTCCCAGTTAATGCTGAGTTAGAGAACTGAAGGTAAATCAAACAAAAGACTGACAAAAGGGTAGATTTCTGCTTGTGTAGCCAGAACACCCTTCTGGAGAGATTACAGGGTACCAAATATTGGAGTAGGTGTCAACGGTTTATCTCCACCTTGAATTTTATCCATTAAACAAAAACAGAATATAGAGTAGTGTGAATAGCAGCAAGTTTTCCACTTGCTCCTGAGAAGTAAACTTGCATTAAAAGATGAGTGACACTCATAGGGGGTTTGTTGTTGTTTATTTTGGGTATAGTAAATATTTATATGCATCTGTTTTTTTAAAGGTGTGGTGTAATCCCAGAATTGTGAAACAGAAATTGTGAACGGCTTTTTGTATCTGTAACCTTTTTGAAACAACAGCTCAAGGGGCAGATGAGAGACAATTTTACACCAGCTTGTCTTTTCATCTTGTCTTTTGATGAGTGAATATAATACCTTTCTACACTAAATTGACTAATGTACAGGACTAACTTCTGGAAAACTGTAGAAATAGATATTTTACTGTCATCAATTTAATTTGCTTAAGGACCCTTTACTTCCAGACAAATGCCAATGATGTGGTATTTATTAGAGCTTTCATCTTCTTAATTTCCACTTTAATACCTTAAGGAATGAAGCAGAATATTATCCTGCAATCAACTGTTGCCCAAAATGATGGTTTAAACGAATCTCATTAGCATTAAAACTATGTATATCGGTGTGAATGTTTGTTGTGTTATTTAAAGCTGTTATGTAATTCACTGGCAGACTTTGAGATAAATTTCCCTTTTATTGGCCTGTTGTGTTCATTAGGTATAGAAGTTATGAATTTAAACTGTTAGAATTCATAAATTGCTTAAGTAACATAACTGTATATGATCAGAAAGTTAATTCCTAAATGCTGCTTCAAAATAGCAAAATTAAGCTTCAGAATGTTTATGTGTTATCCACTAGCTTATGTTTGGTAAATGTTTGTAATGCATACAAGGAGCATTGCATTCATTTTAAATACATATCTCTTTTTGGCCATCACTATGTTATGTTGGGCTATTTTTTTTTCTAAGGAAGCACTAGATGCTTAACTGAAAAATGACCTGGAAAACTAAATTACCTCTTTGTAAGTGTAATTATGAAACAGGTTCCGTTCCTGCCTTGATTCTGAAAGCCTATATTTTTCTGTTATAAGTGGACTTTTTTTAAATCCCTATTGTAAGATATGAACCCAAAGCAGGTAATTTATAAGAAAACTGGTTTGGTTTTAATTCATTGTTTTTCATAATGATAAAAATGGTATTGTAATTTCTCTTAATGCAGACATTTATTAAAATTGCCTGGAGGCTACAAGCTGTTATGTCAAAAAACAAAGCTGCTTTGCTAGTATGTTAGGCAGTTCATCTTTTGTGTCATTCTTATTTGCATCTTAATATACTTAAACTTCTAGAAGTCACTTGGCTTAGTATCTCATGAGGCCAATTAAAATGATCAGTGATCACTACCCATGTAGTACATGTTAAGTAGATTACAACTTAGCTATCTTATCAAAGTGATTACAGAGAGAGAATAATTTAGAATCATAGAATGGTTTGGGTTGGAAAGGACCTTAAAGATCATCTAGTTCCAACCCCCCTGCCATGAGCAGGAACACCTCCCACTAGACCAGGTTGCCCAAAGCCCTATCCAGCCTGGCCTTAAACACCTCCAGGGATGGGACATCCACAATCTCCCTAGGCAAAGAATGTTTTTTTAATTCCTGTAGAGTCAAAACATTATACAATAATTTAAATTGCAAGGGACTACTGGAGGTCATCTAAACCAACTCCTTACTCAACTGGTCAAAGCCAGGTCTAATGGCATCAGGTTGCTCAGGGACTTGTACAGTCAAATCCCACTTGGATTTGATTTTTTATGATTTAATTTATAAATATTACTTAGCCATTTGGAAAAAGAAAATGTAGAATAATTTATGGTAGTAAGATGAACTGCAGAATAGAAAATTATGCGGAAACAATGTGCACACAGTATTCTGAAATACTTGGTAAACTGGTGTAATACAGACAGTGTTATTTATTCTTAAATGTAATGCCACACATCTTGAAAAAAAAGATACGTTTTTAACTATTTCAGTAACTCTCCCTCATGGAAATGCTTAGAAGTCTGTTAAAGAGATAATTTAAACGCTGTTAAATAGGAAAAGACTGAGGAGGGGAAAAAAAAGCTTTGTTTTTTGTAGAGAAAGGAAATGACTTGGACTTGATGTGCAATTATCTATTTTCCAAAATAATGATTACGAGTCAAGCTCCAAAACTGAAAGTTGAAGCTAATTAAACACGGTATAGAAATAAGGGTTTCATTGCTCTTTTTAAAAAGACTTTACGTAGTTACTTACCAAATTATTTATCACTAAATCTTGATGTTAGGCTCAGAGTAAATTTTTTAAGAATCATTGGGTATCATTCTGACGAAAATAATGTTTAGATGTTGAAACTGAGAAGTATGTAATCAGTTCTTCTTTTTCATGTCGTTTTCCATAACTCCAGAAAATTCTAAGTCTTTTCTTCAGTAAAACATACCTTTGTTTCAGTTCTTGAATCTAATTTTCTCCTCTTTCTGTGCCAATAATTATTGAGAGAACCATAAACAATAACTATTCAGGTAAGCTTTATAATATCTAGTGTATAAGGTATAACCCAACTACCTTGTAATGAATAATAACATATTTTAGAAATAGTAAATTAAAATAACTTACTGAATTGAAAAAGCCCTTTTGTGCTTCAAAAAGAAACTCATGTTAGAATGCTTTTTATTCCGGCATAATTCTATAAAAGCTACAATTTGAACAACAGTATTCTTAAATTAAGAGATCAAAGAGTAACTTATTATTCTTTCATTTAACATTTAAATTCATTAATTTCTTTGTTTTTCTTTCAGTCTTCCTTTCTCGTTGGCATATGTCAAACTATGCCATAATTTTGATTTGCAAATGAACTAAAATGAAGACACATTTCATGATTACAAAAAAGGGACAAATTTAAAAGTGCTGTTGTGAACTAACTGTAGGAACAGATTTTAATTTGCTTAAATATTTTCTACTGCTTCACGTAAACAGAACAATAGAAACTGGATTAGAGAATCCACACTTAACTTCTGTGTCTAATTGTTTTGTCAAAATCAAGATGCTGACACTTTGCAAATAATGGGTTCTTGTTTTCCTGTAGCTGTGGTACACTGTCGAGCCAGACAGAGAATAGAAAGAAGACTAGAAGTGCTGCTGACTGGTGTAGTCCCTGGTGCGACTGCTATGCCTGCTGCAAGAACTTCTGCCACGGGCAATAAAAATAAGCCAGCCAAAATCCAAGAAGAAGTTCAAGTCACTGATGGTAAGCCTAAATAGCTTGGATATCATGCTATTTTAGGAACATTGCAAATGGGGTAAATGTTTCACCAAATGTAACGTTGTCGTGACAACAGTTGAGGTTTAGACAAATCCTTCTTTCAGTCTGTATTTCTACCCCATTGCAAATATGGGACATTGGTATAACAGCATGTCTGCTGTTATAGGCACCTTTGAACCTGAACCTTTCTTTTTCTGTCTGTCTTGGATGTGAGGCTTGCACACATATCCTCAGTCCTTTGAAAGAGAATAGCTTCCACAAAGTCTGAAGTTTGCAAAAATATGTCTGTGTAAGCATTGCAAGGAAATATTTGACTGCAGGTTGTCCCTATTTGTAAGATACATTCCCACCAGCAGGCCAATATCTGCAGCAAAATGGATTGTAGAAAGAGGCCTTGCTTGAAAGAAGCAATAGAGCTTTGTAAAAAGATAGCTCCCACTTACTGTTAATCAGCAGAGGACACAGTGAAAATCAATTTCTTCAGAGATACACCAGCTTTTCATATTATACCTCTCTTTGAAACAGAATTGTATAAGTAGTAAGAAAAGAATGCGTGTTGCTGTTGTATACCTGGTATTTCTGTTAATAGATACATATTAACAGTCATATTCACTACAACAAATTATCACAGAATCACAGAATCTTCTAGGTTGGAAGGGACCTTAAAGATCATCTTGTCCAACTGTCAACCTAACTGACAAAAATAGTCACCCACACAACAAACAAGGAGCATCATCACTAAACCATACCTCCCAAAATTATGCTTTGTTTCATTTTACCGTCATTAATTATTGCACCTTTGAGACTTAACCTACATTTCTTTTAAGGTTCCAAATCATCCTATTTTTTAAGAAGAATGTTATTTAAAAATTCTGACACATGACGAGACACCCTAATGTGTGTTTAATGTAGCTGTAAACGAGGAGACCCATGCCTTAACTTTTTCAAAAGTGTAATGCATTGTATAGTGATAGAAGTCTACAGAAGTTGCTATGATTGCAATCTATTATGCAATCAGTTTGAGAGGCAGGCAAACATTTTGTGTTTCATTTCTGCCATTTAGAATCTGGCCAACAGAAGCTTTGCAGGAATACCATGTTACAGAACCTGTCCTGCCAAAGAATTGAAAATATATAAAATGTAAATCAAGATGCATTATGTCCTTCTTATGAGGATGATTTTCATGCAAAGATGCCTCTGCCCTGCACACTGACAAATGTAGTCCCATACTGCAATCTTTAAACAGATTTTATTTTGAATGTTTTTAAAACAGGAGGGGGTCTGAAGTTGAACTGTTAACAAAAGCTTGCACAGCCTATGCTTACTGATTAGTTTATATTTGTAATTACTTAGTTAAACTTTATATTTGCTCTTATTGTGGTGATGAAGATAACTTTTCTGTGCATATTATTTTATAATCCCATATTACAAGTGATAGTGATCAATCTAGTAAAATAAAAAAGATGTGAAGTTCTCAATGTACATTCTTGCCTCTTTGAAGAAATGTAAATACTATTGTATAACTTTATCCAGCCTTGTGAGAACAGCTGTATACGTTACTTCTTTTTTTTTTTTTTACTATAGACTGTCAGGCTTAGCTCTTTATTGACTTGTCACACAGTAAGCTACCTTAAACATACCCTCCAACATGGTGGCATCTGAATTGACAAGAAGAACATGCACTGAGCAAGTTGAGGCAGCATTTTGAAAGACTTACAAATTCATGATGTACAGTGCTTGTTTTATTCATAGGAATAATATTTCATATTTATTAACACTGGCTTCTGCACATACTGCAAGACATTGATTTGGGACATTGCATCTTTCAAGTAAGAAGTCTGGTAATGAAATGCTTTACACCATAAGTACTAAGATCATTTATAACTCTGGTGCTTTCATGGTTTTCAATGACGTTATAATGTCATTATTGCTTCATGAATTTGATGCCTGTTAGGAATGAAATTTAATGGTACTACCTCAGCTTTCTGCAATCTGCCAATAATAATGTAAATAAAATGTAAACCTATAAGATAACAACCTGGCAAGCTGTTTTTCATTTTTTTTCTCTTCTGAAAGAGTGTATGTGTGATGTGTACTAAGCAGTTTTTATATCCAAAGATAAATGATGATAATTACTGGCAGATCAGATTTAAACAGCTACTACTGAGCTTCAGTATTTAAATTATTTGGACAAGTATAAATTCCTGGGAAGTGAAAAATCTTCAAGCATGTCTTTTAAGTTAAAAGAATTCAATTAAATCCAATCCAAAAGATAGTATTTGAATTAGAAAATTAGTATAATTTCTTAAGGAAGAGTGGATAATCTAAGTACTGTCTAGCTAAAATGACACAGTTTGTTATTCAGAAGTCAGCAAAGTTCCAGACACCAAATAATTAAAGTTTAATCTGTTAGACCTAGCAATTATGATATGGCCCTTCTAAAAACTAATTTTCAATTGTATTAGATGAATATTTTTACCCTATATATATTTTTTCATCTTTTTTTTTATATATGGGTCCAAGGACAATTTTTTCCAGTACATGAAATTAAAGACCCAAGATTAATCCAAACAACTGTGAAGACTGTTACTTTTGTATTCTAATAAAACAGCTTTTAAAGTTTAAATTAAATATTCAATGGGAAATATAAACATGTTTAATTTTCCATGATCTTCTAAGACAAACATCAATTATTCAAAAATTATCAGTTATCCATTATCAATTATTTGACTAAAATTCACAAATTCCTAAGCAATCAATCTTGACCGTGTTGAGAGCATGTGTATGAGTTACATAGCCAGAGTATCGTCTGGTTCAGAAAATACACTAATTAGTCCTGTTCTGTGTCTATGTTTTCTTTTGTAACCTATCCTTTTCAATTGCTTCTGTTTATCACATAAAGTGGCCATAAGGGCTGACTGTTTAATTAAATTACCTAATCTTCATTAATTCATAGCTCTTGACACAGCCCGAAGGCTGGTCTTACTTCCTTGCTCTTGGGTTCTTATTTCTGGGAAGGTTTCATGACAGTTGTGGGAAATAGTGTTGTCCAGGTTCTGTAGGGTAGGACGGGTATAATATTTTTTATGTTATGTCCAAGTTTCACAGCAAGGCTGAATTCTGACTAAACAGATAGACAGTTCAATTGTGCCTAGGGGTTAAATAATATTTTCCAGATATACAAATCCATAATGTTCATTGGCCTTCATTATGCAAAGTGTCTCTCTACCCTTTGTTTCATCATTTACAAAATCAGCAAATATATATCTATATTCTGTACAATTTTGTATCAATTACCTAGCATTCAAAAAATTCTGATGGTCATCAGAATGTACAGAAAGCTTCTAATTTCTTTAATTTCATTGAATCAGCTTTTTAAACAGGGGAAGAGTAACAACATGTCCAAATACATGTTAATAGATATTCCCTCCTCTGCCCCCCCTGCAAGATTTTATGTTAACCAGGGGTATGGATTCCACTAAATACCAATTTAATGTGACAGATCTCCTTCGGGAAGCTCACCTTTATGAAGTGAGTTCAATAAAATTGGGTATGACCAAAAGAAATCTTATCAGCCTAAGAAAGAAAAATGTTGGTATAGATGGAGACAAAATATTCTTATAGACTTGTCTCTCATCTAGAGATTTTAATTTAATTGCTAATAAAGTGTAGCAGGTTAATACTGAAAGCAATATGAAAATGATAATAATGATGAAGATGGCCCTATATTTTATTAAGCCCTCTCTCTATTGTCAGAATAATTGTGGCATTACTTTTGAAATGGTATTTGAGGATGAGAGAATTATAGCTATATAAATGCGGTTGTTAAGTGATTTTTTTTTCACTCTGCAAGAAGTAGAAGAAAGAACAATACAGTGTTTGTTTTGGATTAACAGTTGGTGAAAGCTGTGAGCAATGGCAACATGAAAGTGTTGACAAGGGGGTGAACTCCTCAGTTGGGTCACTGTGTAATGGATTATTACCTTTTTGTTAAAGGTGCCAACTCCTGCTGGAAAGCAAGGAAGGAGTAGAAGTCAAAGAATAGGTCAACAGAGTAGAAATAAAAGCCTGGATGGATTATTTTGTCAGCTACATAATTTTTGTTAACACCTGGTTGTTTTTTTCTTTATTTATGAGTGAACCATGGGAGAGATTTGATGCATTGTTTATTTTCTTTATTGAACTGCAATACGCACAGGCGTTTTAATGAAGAACTTTAAGTGGGCCCTAATTTACCTGTTGTTGAAATACAAGATTACCACTTGGTCCATTGAAAAAGAAACGATTTAGCATATTTTTTTTCTTTCACGAGTAACCCTTCCTACTTGCATTTTTTAATATAACTAGAACAATAATGACAAATACTGAAAAAAGAGCTTGTGAATTGTGAGCAAACATAGTTTGCTTATATTTCTGTTTACAAGACAGTGACTCATTTCTGTTTCTTTGCCATGTTATAAAATGTTGAAATCTGCACACCTTAAGAATGAGAGTCATTATGTAAATTAAAATTACTTTCTAACACCTATGCAAAGTCATGTTCTGTTAAAATATTCAACACTACTAGATCATTTATAAACTAATCTGAAGTTATTTATTCAGCTGCATAAAAGTGCAAAAACCCCAAAATAATACAAACCAAAACCAGAAATGATTCCATGCTTCCTGGGTTAGTTTTCTGGTGTCATGTACATCCACAAAAAATGAGAAGTCCAAAAGAACTGATTGGCTAGCCCAACATAATATATCTCTAAACTAAGAACATACAAATATATATCTCTTTAAAATGTTTTTTGAGTTAGTGGCTAAGGGAAACCTCAGCGATAACATTTGCCACAAGAGTGTGTGAATTACTTTAATTGTTACATGATTGTGATTGCCAAAGTTCCATTTCTCCCATTTCTTGTTCACAGAATTTCCTGGAATTTCTTTGGTTGGCTGATAAGGAAGTATTACTTCCATAGAAAGAGCACCACTACAGACTT